AAAAAAAAAAAAAAAAAAAAACTCACCGATTCAAGTATTCACTTAGACCAAATTCCCAAAGAGGGCAAAATTTCAAAATTGGTCTTCTAACTTGGCCACTTTCCAAAAATCCACCCCGCCATTGGCCACTTTCATCATGGGTCCTATAAATTGTCCAGTTAATAAAAGATGGTCCTATTTTATCCGCACTCTGGACTAAAAATCGACGTGGCATGTTTTTTATCTGATGTAGAATGATTGTTTGATGTCATGGCGGGATAAAAAAAAGCGCGAAACTTATCAGATTTTACCCCCAAAACTGCAGCTTAATCGTCACAATTACACAAAGTCTCCAAATCCGAAAACCCGATTCCCGATATTCCCCAAAAATTCCCCAAAAGTTGCGTCTCTCAACTTTCGACAAAATCGAAATTGCTTAAAGATGGTTGAAAAAAATTGAAGTCCCATAAGGATTAAGTCAAAATTAGCAAAAGATCTTGCCGAAATGAAGGAGAAATCAAAAACAAAATCCAAGGGGAAATCAAAATTGGAGGAGAAATCAAAATTGAAGAAGACCTCTGAATCACAACAATTGAAGCAGCAATCTGAACCACGAATGAAGGAGAAAACTGCTCAGTTTGATGTAGACAATCTCAGTATGATCGAGAAAGTTGCTCTCGGAATTTAAAGACCCAACTACGAGATGAGATTGCGGCGAAAAGAGCTTGATTACATTCCTACTCCTCGATATGGTTAGTATAATTTTTGAAATTAGGGTTTATAATTTGTAAAATAGGGTTTACAATTTCTGAAATTAGGGTTTTGTTAGACTTCGTCATTGTATTTCTTAAATTAGGGTTTATATTTTTGTTACTGATCAACTTTCTTTCTCTTTGGTTTGTAGGAACCCAAAGTGAGTTTTTCATGGTTGGTTTACATTATGAAGGTTTTTTTTTTTTTACCAAGGTCACAATTATGCAGCATATCTAGGATGTTCTACAATAATGTTTGATTTTGTTGACCATAGAAAGGTATGTCTTGATGATTTCATAAAGCTTGCTGAAAGAAATGGTGTGAAGAAACCTTTCAGACTGTATCAAAATAAAAGTCATGTGTTTGTGTTAGTAAGCTCTCAGCGTGACTTAGGAAAAATTTGAGAAGAAAATAGAATGTTTAGGGAAGTAAACTTGTATGTGGATGAGGTGAAAGAAATGCAAAAGAACAGGAGCAGGGTGATAAAGATGAGGTTGGCCTTGGTGACTATGAAATGAATTTGAGTGAAGGGGATGATTTGAGCTTGGGTGAGGGGGTTAAGGGAGATGCTGCAGTGAGCTTGGGTGAGGGGGATAAGGGAGATGATGCTGAGAGCTTGGGTGAGGGGGTGAGGGAGATGATGTTGAGAGCTTTGGTTAGGGGGTGAGGGGGATGATACTGAGAGCTTGAGTGAGGGGGGTGAGGGGGATGAGGGAGATGGTGTTGAGAGCTTGGGTAAGGGTAGTAAGGGAGATGGAGGGCGTCTTGAAAGTGATGAATCCAATGATGAACTTTATGATTGGGAATATTATATGGGGGATGACAAATTAGATAAGTTGATAAAAATGTTGATAATAATGTTGAAGGGTTAGGTGGTCAGAGTGAAAATGAGAGGGAAATGAAAATGGAAGTGAAGGGGATGAAGATGTGGTATACCAAGAGGAGTTAAACAGTAAAGTTAGATCTCATGAGGACAAAGTGAGGTATAAGTTTCATGTGTTTGATCATAATGACTTATATGAACCAAACTTCAAGATAAGTATGTTGTTTGCTACAAAATTTGAGCTTAGGACTGTTATACATTCATGTGCCATTAAGGCAAAAAGAACTGTCATAATTAGCAAAAATGTAAAGCAGTACCTTAGAGCCAGGCATGGTGATAGTAATTGTTCATGGAAGATTAGTGCAGTTAGAGTGAAAAGTGAAGAGACCTTTCAGGTTATCAAGTATAACCCTAGACACGCTTGTGCTGTGACATGAAAGGTAAAAAATTTGAAATCCACTTGGTTGGCTGGGAAATATGCTGCTGTTTTTCAGAATGATCCTCAGAGGGATGTGAAAGGATTTAGAAATCAGGCAGCAAAAGAGCTTAGAGTTCACATTTCTAAACAACAAGCATACAGAACCAAATTGCATGCCATTGCTGATAAAAATTGTGAACCTAAGGAGCAGTATGCATTATTGTGGGATTACTGTGAGGAGATTAGAAGGACAAATCCTGGTAGTGCAGTTGTGTTGGATACTATTTTTGATTCTGATAGTGGGAAGAGTTTATTTAAAAGATATTATATTTTCTTGAATGCATTGAAGTTGGGATTTAAGCAGGTTGTAGAAATGTGTTTGGTGTGGATGGTTGCCATTTTAAAGGTCCAAATAAGGGGATCTTACTTACTGCTGTTGGGTTTACCCCAACAATGCACTTTTTCCTTTGGCATTTGCTATTGTCAGTGTTGAAAATTTCAAAATTGGGAGTGGCTTTTTATTCTTCTGAAAAATGATTTGGAGATTGTCAATTAGAGTGAATGGACCATCATTTCAGATAAGCAGTAAGGATTGATACAGACTGCGCAAGCAATTTTTCCAAATTATGATCACAGGTTCTGTGTGAGACATTTGATGGGAAATTTCAGAGATGCTGGCTTTAGCGGATAGCATTTAAGCATGCTGTTTGGAGATGTGCAGCCACTACAGTGAATGAATTCCAGAGAAAAATGGTTGTAGTTAGACAATTGAGTGAAGAGGGTGGAGTTGGTTGTCTAAAAAACCACCAAAAGAGTGGAGTAGGTCACACTTTAGTGTTTTTTCAAAGTGTGACATGCTTTTTAATAATGCTTGTGAGACAGTCAACAACAATATCCTTGAGGCCAGGGAACAACCAATTCTGTCAATGCTTGAGTGGATAATGGGGTATTTGATGAGAAGATTGCAACATAATAGGGATAGATGTGCAAAAAAAAATGGAACTTTTCATTGTGTCCCAAGGTACAGGAAATCATAGATGTTCATATTGATAATTTGGTTGATTGTATCCCCCTAAAATCTGATGAGTACAACTTTCAAGTTGAATGTGTGAATGGTGATCAGTTTAAGGTGGATCTAAGGGAACATACCTGTGGGTGCAGAAAATGGGAGTTGTCTAGAATTCCTTGTGTACATGCAATGAGTGCAACTAATTTCCAAGGCTAGAGCATTGAAGATTTTCTGAATCCTTGCTACAAGACAGAGACATACAAGAAGGTGTATGAGCCTGCAATCATGCCTATCAATGGAAGGTAGGAATGAGCAACAACAGGTTATCCTCCACCTTAACCACCAAATTTAGGAAGATATGCAGGAAGGCCAGAGAAGGTTAGAAAAATAGAATCTGATGAGGTTCTTTCTAGTGGGAGAAAGAGCCAAGGGGTAAGCCTAGAGTTGTGACCAAGGAAAATACAATCTAGAGACAACGAATGGCAGTAAAGTGCAACTTCTGTAAGAAGGATGGTCACAATAAGAAAGGATGTCTTCTCTTCAAATCTCAAGGCCAACAAAGACCAGAAAAGTTAAAGATAATTGTATAATAAATTCTTCTTTCATGTCTTCATGACTAAATTGTTGTTTCATTATCTATCTGATGTTTTCATCAACATATAGTTTATATACTTGATTTCATGTATTTTCAGACTAGAAAGAGGGTGGTTGACCCTGTCCCAGCAGTTGGAGTGTCCACTTAACAAAGCTCAAGTAATGTAAGTAGTTTCTATTTTTTTCAGTTTTCAACTTATTCATAATAATCTTTACAAAGTAACATAAACCAAGCTTACTTGTTAGGTTACAAAACAAACTGTCCATGTTGCTCCTGTTGCCCCTGATGCCTTTACTGCAAGTGCCTCTGCTCCCAAAAAGTGCTTCAAACCTGCTGCTCCACCTACCTCTGCTCCAACAAAGTGGTTTAAATTCCCTGCTCCACATGAACCTTCTCCAACAACCCTTGCTCTACCTGCTCCAACACAATGGTTCAAAACTGCCCCAACTCCTTACCAACAATTGCAAATGGGACAACCCACTAAAGGAGTGGTCATCAGAGGACCAGCACCATTTGTTAGTGTTCATTTCATACCAAGCCAAGAGAGTTGCTTAACTGAAAGAGATTCAAGACTAAAGGAGATACTGAAAGAATGTGGCCAAAAGTACACCTCCATTTGTAGTCTTGTTCCATTTGTAGATCATAAACAAAAGGGAAAGAATGTAAACAAAATGAGTGATTTGGTTGTTGGTAGGTTGTGTAAACTGCACTTGGTTATGAACTGAATTTGGGTGTGTTGGTTGATGGTTTTTTTTTTGGATATTAGCTGAATGTGGGTATTTTTATTAAGTGGATGAATGGTTTGAAACATGAATGGTTTTTGTATGTGAATGGTTCAGGTTGTGGGGATGAATGGTTTGAAATGTGAATTGTTTTAGTTTTTGTTCTGAAAATGTAAGTGAATGGTTTGAATGGTTGAGGTTATGGAAATGGTTTTTGTTGTTGATGGTTGTTGGTTTTGGTATTTGGATATTAACTGTATGTGGGTGTTTTGGTCTTTGGATATAAATTGTACTGTATGATGAAAATAATGAAGTTCTTCAGATGCAGCCTAACTTACCATGTCTTTCAGTACACTTCTTTTGTTTTGCAGCTGAAGATGTTGCTTTAACTTGAAGCACGCAACAATTAATTAATACATTAGTTGTTTGATCATATGCATAAGATAAGATATTCTGGTTAATCAATTACTTAAACATGAACATGCTTACTGATCAACAAAACCAACAACAAAAAATGTTCAATCATCAAACAAACACAAGTACAACAATCCCTTACAACAATTCATTACAACAGTCTTCACATTGAACAAAACAAAGTATTCATACACACTGTTCATTCATCATAGAACCAATCAAAATGACAGAACCAACACTGAAGAAAAAAAAGATAACATCTTGTTCGAGCTTCCAGATTTATTTCAACAAACGACAACATTAAAAATGATGAACAGAAACAACATGACCCATGTTGCAGCAACAAACACTTCGAGCTTCTTGATTTTTTTGTCAAATTTTGGAAAATTCTTTAGCATAAATGTCTTGCGCATGCTGAAATTGGAGTTCAACACTCTCCTTCATTTTTTTTGTTCTCGGCTTCAAGCAGTAACATCTTGTTCCTGAGTTCTATCATTTCATTGGACAGAATCTCATTCTTCGAGCTATCTGGTTCATCCTCCCATTGAAAAAACTTACAACCCCCATCCTTCCAATTCTTGCAACCATGAAATTTCTTACCAGGATTTGATGGAGTCATTGATGTGCGTAGTTGAGCTCTGAAACCGCAATAACAAACAAGATTAGAAGGAGACGAGAACGAGGAAGAAGAAGACATTGGCATCAGTTTTTCTCTCTCTCGTTCGACCTCTCTGCGAAAATTGAAGAAATTAGGGCAAAATAATTTGGGGATTTGGTTAGGATCGATTATATGACCGAATAATTGGTGATGTGGCAATTTTATTTTCCACCTAAGATTATAACAATTATTATATTAACCTCCTGCAGCCACATCTGATAAAAAAACATGCCACATCGATTTTTAATCCAGGGTGCGGATAAAATAGGACCAACTTTGATTAATTGGACAATTTATAGAACCAAGAATGAAAGTGGCCAATGGCAGGGTGGGTTTTTGGAAACTGACCAAGTTAGAGGACCAATTTTGAAATTTTGCCTACTAAATAGTATTGATTTCATTATAAATAACATACTAATCCATTAAATTTATGTCACTGTTGTAGCAAATTATTTTTCTTTTTACCGAGTACCAAATCAAAAGATTCGTTCCCCGGGTCAATCTCTCGAGGAAGGCGGTTCGAAATTTAGATTCAGTGTTGATAACAAACAAGAGTAAAATAAAGCCTAAGCACACTAATCAAGATGGATGGTTTTTATCAACTAAGAACTATAAAATAATGCAAAAATATAAATCAACCGAAAATAAGAATCAAGTGACGATGGAGAAGCTAGGGAGTCGGGGATGATGATTTTCTAACCCAATGCAAATATCAAGCTAAGATCATTCGGTTAAATGGTTCGAACAACCTAACGTCTTGAGATAGTCCTCAACAACTCTTCGTAACAAGAGGATAACATAGACGGTAATATCAAACAAACCACACAACATATAGACAATAAGTTTCCGAACAAGTCTATTTCATGTGAGCCTAGATCGATCAACTCCTCCCCTTTAGGTTCTAAGAGTTGATTAATTATCCTAGACGATTGTTAATCTACTAGTTCGTTGGATTTAATCACATCAAACAAGAACATATCATATTCAATTGGAAATCAATTTCAAATCGAAGTGTCACTTTTCGATAATATTCAACATACAAGCATGAGAATTATAAACCCTAGTTAAGCACAACTCGCATAAATTGAACAATCAACAAGCATGAAAATCACAATTATATTCTAGACATCATCATCATCCCTTATCTGTAGC